GTTGATGTTCTGAAATGTGCAATAAAAATGGTTGTAAGGAATTGATTACAAAGCGGAAGAACACGAGGGGGTGGGGGAAGTATGTCCGCCTGGTTGCCTGAGATGTTGCAACAATAAAATCATGAGCGTTTGAATTTTGCTAGCAATCTTACGGTAGGGGTATTTGCCTGGGAAATGCAGTAGTTGGCTTCCCAGAAGAAGAGAATGGGATTTCTTTTCGGACTGTCTTACATTAAACGAAGTCCAACGGCTGGGAACAGGGTGAAAAGAGGGCCTTAAACCCATTGCTGAGGAGAGAGCGTGCTAAGAATGCTGAGCGACAGAGGCAAGTGTTCCCAGCGAAAGCTGGCCAGAGGGTGTTGGCTACAGAGTCGGAGCTGGAGACCGCCCCCCCCCCAGGATGTTCCCTGTGAGCAGACTTCTTGGGTGATCGCTGCATCCACATATCATGCAATTCAGTAGTTCAATCATGACCACAATCAATTTTAGAACATTTTCTTCTTCCTGGTACGCTTTGTTAGTCGTGTAATTATTATTGTTACTGGTGACAAAAACATGCACAGCGAAACATTCTCTCGCTCAACAACTTCTCCATTCAGTGCCATTTGATTACCCTCTTCACGTTGTACAACCGCGGTCCATAGCCCTCTCCAACTGGTTCCACCACACTGAGAATGAACTCAATGCTCCCTAAGCAAAATCTCTTCCTCCACCACCCAGGGGCTATGCCCTTTCTGACTCTCGTTGGACACACAGCTTCAGGGGCTCAGTTCTGAGTTCTTCAGAAGGACCCACCATCCTTTATCCCCTGTAGGACAGGCTGAAGAGCAAACGGTCTCATCCTTAATATTGACGCCACAGAGCCGGAAGAACGTTCAGGCTTTGGTCATGGTACACGCTAGTGCAAATCTAAGTTTCTAGGCAAAATGTCCTTCTTTAGGGGGAGAGAGAACACCATTCAGAGAAAGGGGGTGGGTGGGGGGAGAAAGAAAGACAGAAAGCAAATGCATGCATGCATGCGCAGATCAACCTGGCCACTTGTCTCATAAAACACAGTCATCAGGGGAGGTCGGACTTTTATTACGGGACCCAAACTCCTGGAAGAGAAAGGAGGCAGTGGGGTTGGTGCAAAGTGTAAAGGGCACTATTCTTCCCCTGTCAACGTCTGGTACCAAGACAAGCAACTTCTCCGGAGAATTTCCCATCTCTAAGACTATCATGCCGGAAACCCTTCAGGTTTCCTGCCTTGTCCTGCCTTGTCCGTTAGAGGTGCTTTGCGTTGGACTGGTCTGGACGACAAACAACAACAGTGCTGTTCATGGGTAAAACAAACCAAAACAAAAGTTGTTTTTAAAGGGAAAGCATAGCATTATCAGACCGCCACTTTCACATCGAGATCCAAGCGGGACAGCTCTGGGTGGGGCCCCTAGTCCCTGCCTCTGACACCCTCTTCGGTTACTGGTGTCCTCAGAAAGAACCAGGGCGGACCGAACCGTCAGGATGCCCCTGCCTTAGGCTTCTCTTCTGTGGCTGGCTCCCCACAAGCCAGCTGGGGACACAGCACTCCTGTGCCGTCAGGGAGACTACCTCCCTCTCTGGCTGGGCCCTGGGCACTGCAATTATCCCTGGAGACAGCCCCAGATCATGAGGCAGAGGTCAGGGGTCAGGAACTGACTCTCCCTGACTGTTTTCCGCTCAGTCCAGAGGCCCTCAAAGGCTCTCAGGAGTGCCGGCTCCTTGACACGCGGTGATGGAGGGGTCAAGTGCTTGGCCGTTCTACTCTGTCCCAGAGGGCCACTCAGAGTTTGAGTCTACTCTAGAGTAACAACAGGACACAGCAGCCTGTGTCTCTCCTTGCAGAAATCTCCAGACTATTTTCTGAATGTGTGGGTACGGCTCTCTTTCAGCTTCTTTCCCCGAAAACAACAAATTTCAGCTCCACGGAGACAGGATGGTGCATCTCTGTGAACAGGGCTAGCTCTGTTATTTTCTTCTCCTCGCTTTCCCAAAAGGTGACCAGCAAGGCTTCCTGAAATCAGACATGGAAAAACCAGGATTTCTATGTGATGAAGGCGGGCAGGGGCCTATTTAGACAGCACAATTCAATTCGGCCCCTATTTATGGATCTGTTTGATCCGAAGGCCTGGGCTGAGTGCTGGCTGGATTTAAAGATGGAAAGAAACTTGTTCCTTCTCCCTGAGTGATCACAGTTTCATAACCTTACTGAGAAGGGAGATGGGTCCAGCCCTGGATGTCTGATGATGTCAAGTCTAAGCCATTACTTCCTTCTGTGGCGACCCATTTCAATGTATTACGATTCGGGTGGGTCTGGGAAGTGCCCGAGGACTAGAAAAGAGCCATCATGCTCTCTGCATGGTGGTGTAGTGGTTATGCGTTGGGCTGTGATCCACATAGTCGGCAGTTCAAATCACCGGCAGCTCCGCCAGAGAAAGACTGGACTTTCGACCTAAACAGTGGCAGCCTTAGGTACCCACAAGGGGTCACTACGAGTGAGCATTGGCTCAAGGGCAGCAAGTTTGGTTTTCAGGGCCCATTCGAGAAGCTTCAGAAGCGGGGCATCATACCAGGCTCTCAGGCAGCGGTGTTGTGCTTATTTGAAGTCGAACAAGGTGGAGACATTTGCTTCGTTTGGGGGTAGGTACATTTTTGCTTCTGTTTCTGCTTCTTTTGGTTCATTTTGGTTGGCTTTGCTGTTTGACCATCCAGTCATTTCCAGCTCCTCGTGTCCGGGTGTATCATGGGAGAGGCCCTCTGAGCTGTGATCCTGATGGAAGCAGACCACCAGGCCTTTACCCCGCTGACTCACTGAATGTGTTTGAACTCCAATTGCAGACTGCCGGCACTGCCTGGGATCTTTTGATGGGTTCTAGATGGAGGGAATTGGAACAAGTTCACACGTACTTTACTTCCTTTCTCTTATTGATTTTGAATAGTTTGTCTACAAATAGACTCTCTATGAATGCTATCAATCTTTTGTCATATGTATTATAAAGATTCTCCGCGACAGTTATCTGGAAGGGGAAGAAGAGAAACCAAGGGGGGGTGCTAAGGGTAAACTATGGGGGGATTTGAGTAGTAGTTTAATTGTTGACTACAATGTTGATGTTCTGAAATGTGCAATAAAAATGGTTGTAAGGAATTGATTACAAAGCGGAAGAACACGAGGGGGTGGGGGAAGTATGTCCGCCTGGTTGCCTGAGATGTTGCAACAATAAAATCATGAGCGTTTGAATTTTGCTAGCAATCTTACGGTAGGGGTATTTGCCTGGGAAATGCAGTAGTTGGCTTCCCAGAAGAAGAGAATGGGATTTCTTTTCGGACTGTCTTACATTAAACGAAGTCCAACGGCTGGGAACAGGGTGAAAAGAGGGCCTTAAACCCATTGCTGAGGAGAGAGCGTGCTAAGAATGCTGAGCGACAGAGGCAAGTGTTCCCAGCGAAAGCTGGCCAGAGGGTGTTGGCTACAGAGTCGGAGCTGGAGACCGCCCCCCCCCCAGGATGTTCCCTGTGAGCAGACTTCTTGGGTGATCGCTGCATCCACATATCATGCAATTCAGTAGTTCAATCATGACCACAATCAATTTTAGAACATTTTCTTCTTCCTGGTACGCTTTGTTAGTCGTGTAATTATTATTGTTACTGGTGACAAAAACATGCACAGCG